GGTGTGCTCTGATTGGCCAGCTATCCAGTGCGTTGTGATTGGCCGAATACCTCAAGTGTGTGACGGAAATGTTAGTTACGCCCCTTACCATACTGTGATGCCGTGTCCGGCCGGAGCGACGATTCAAAAACATGAAAACCCATTATAAACAAGGCAGTTGTTGCATCCAGTGGGGACATAATTACAGATTATAATGACTAATGCCAAACGAAATATGCGCATCGCGTCACTCGCAGGATATTTTCTGTGTCACTCGCGCGAATAAAAACATAACGCGATCAACCATGCTTGAGATAACTACAATCGCTGTTTTGTACCTGTTGTCAAAAAGTCCCAAATACGATGGAAAGCCAAACGCCGACGTGTCTGGGTTCTTTAACCCCTGACTACTACAACAATTATTACAACTTTTGTTTAAAAGAATAATCACACAATACGCTATTTCTTCCATGTTTTAATTTTAATGGTAAACCCATTAAATAAAGAGTTTGCCAAAAAATAAAGAGTTTAACTCTTTAAAATAAAGAGAACATGCCAGGGAAGGCAGTTTTTGTCAGAGCCCTTGTTATTCTTAATTTTGACATTCATTTTAATTTTTACACCAGACATATATATCGGTTCAAAATATCGGTTATTGGTCTACTTGATCTGTAATAATCGGTATCGGCCTTGAAAAACACATATCGGTCGACCCCTAATATACACTGATATTACTATTATTTTTATTATTGATAGCAGCATCTCTGTAGCAATGCTAATAAAATACAACTACCACTACAACTGATTTTAATTGTTTTCTATGCTCCAGACCTTTATAATAATTCTTCCATTGTCTGATTCAACTGGACATGTCAAGAAGCTCTTCGCTGATTGGCTTGCGTGAGAACGCGTCATGCGAATTTTCTGCTCAAGTTGACATTTTTGAACTTGCACGAAAGACGCGATTGAGGCGAATATCGTGCGTTCGCTGCAAACACGTCGCGCATTTCGCGTCATCCGGCGCGAATTCGGCTCTATTCGCATCTTTGCATTGACTTTGTATGCAATCTACTTGCGCGAATAATTACATTCGCATCTGGTGTGAACACCATTATACTGTCTTTTTACGGTTGCGTTGCGTCGCGCCGCGTAAACATACTCTTAACTTTTATAAAGAATATCTCTTTGGATTTGAGACTTTAGTCTTTGCAACTTTACAGATCTTCTTTATGCACCAAGAGCTTGTAACACTCCAAAGAGAAAGAAAACATTGAAATCGCATCATATGACCCCTTTAAAGGGTCATGAAACCCCAGGCTACTTTTTCTGAGATTTTAGCAGAGGTGTTTGTGTTGCACATCAGACAAGACAATGTTAGCATCCGATAATTTTAACTGTTGGAGAAAACTGGTTAATTTTAAGCTTTTTTGCACTATTTTCATCTTCTGGGTTTAAAATCTACATCCTGTTGGCAATGGACTAATAGTACATCGATTACGCGTCAGTGTCTATTAAATTATTCATGAGACTGCGTGTTCTTATCCTATGAGAAGATGCTTTGCTTAATTATTCACAACAGCATGTGTTGATTTGCTATGACAGACGTTTCAGACCGTGAGATCGCGTACATTAACTGAGAGAAACGTTCATGAATCGAAGAAGAGTGTTTGTTTTTGCTTTGTAATACGAGTTCGGCACAAATGCGATTCTTTCTCTTAGTGAGCATAACCGTTTTTACAGCTCTGTGATACAACCCGTCAAAAGGCTTATATAAACGCCGCAGAATAAGCCTTAAAGGAACACTCCACTATTTTTGAAAATAGGCTCATTTTCCAGCTCCTTTAGAGTTAAACAGTAGAGTTTTACCGTTTTCGAATCCATTCAGCCGATCTCCGGGTCTGGCGGTAGCACTTTTAGCTTAGCTTAGCATAGATCATTGAATCTGATTAGACTGTGAGCATCTCGCTCAAAAATGACCAAAGAGTTTCTATATTTTTCCTATTTAAAACTTGACTCTTCTGTAGTTACATCGTGTACTAAGACCGACGGAAAATGAAGAGTTGTGATTTTCTAGACCGATATGGCTAGGAACTATACTCTCATTCCGGCGTAATAATCAAGGAACTTTGCTGCCGGCGCAATGATATTACGCAGCGCCTGAAAATAGTCCCAGCTAGGTAACTTCCAATCAGCCTATTGTCAGGCGCTGTGTAATATCCCCCTCCGCTGCAAACCACGCCCACTTTTGTAGCGTTTTTAAGACTGTGTTGAGAACTAAGCAGTGCTGAAACACGGGCTTTCATGACCCTTTAACAACATTCTCAAAATATGATTTATCCAATGTTCATGGAGCGTTTTCTGAAGCATTTTCATTGGACATTCATATTTTTATTTAAAAAAACCTTACTACTTATTAGTTACTACTTCAGACAACATTCAAACGTGACATTCAAATAATATTTAAAAAATTATAAAATGAAACATTCTCTTAATTCACATAAAAAACAAACGAACTAAAAAAAACGATGTTTTCAGATAACATTCAAAAAGAACGTTTTCTTAATGGGAACGTTTAGCAAAACGTTCTCAGAAGCTATGTTTAGCTGAAAGACGGCTGTCTGATGGTCAAAACAAACCGAAGCACCTTCAGTCACACAAACATTCATTCTGAAACATCTACTGATTTAATTTCACTCATTAGGCTTTTGTTCAGTTCCACAGACTGGTTTATCCGCACTGAGGCGAAGTCATTCGGATCCTTTCATTTGGACACCTTTTAATGAGGCTATCACAGAACAATTACATTCAGTCTTCAGATAATAAACTCATGTTACCCGATAAACACCCTGAAAATATGGACTTGAGCGCGCAAGTGTTCAAATGTAAAGCAGAAACACATGTTGTTATTGTCAGGAACACAAACAGCAGCAGTTTGAGCCGCAGACGCGAACGCAGCCAATCACAGAAGAGAGTCCGCCGAGGAGGCGGGGCTTATGAGGTTTCCTGACCAATCAAAATCAAGCCCGAGGCAGCGTCAGTCAGTCACTAACAGCTCGAGATGATCCGTGATTTCAGCCCCGCGATCGTGTGTCGTTTTTATTCTTAGTGAAGTGGATCTGTCATAATAAAGAGCGTTAAGCGGCGCTAACGCGTGATTTTCTCACCTGTCGCGTCCACCTCCATTCCTCCGCCGTTACTCGCCGCCAT